TAAACTTTTTTAACTGATAAAATGTTTATCATAATATCAGCAACATTTTATCAGTTGACAAATTTTCGATAATTTTCAAAGGAACCGAGATAATTGTGTTAAAAAGTTATTGTGTGGGTGAGCTTCTATTACAGCATAAATAAATTAGGTCAGTCTGTGATTTTACAGTAATTAGGGATTTTCTGGAAAATCAAAAACTAAAAAATATGAAGTTTTTGTTTCTCTAAAGGGAAAAGAAACCTGTAGAGATTACTGTAGGTCAGTTTCCAGAAATTGAAGGCTCTTGACTTTTTTTCGATTTGTAAAGGTTCTAGCCACCATATTTCCTTGAACAGAAGTCCACCCAAACCGTCAACTTTGAGCTCAATTATCTCGATTCCGGTGAAAGATATCAGAAAGTTGTCAACCGATAAAAGATTAGTGACATTATGATTAACAATTTATCAGTTGACAAATTTTTGATATCTTCCACAGGAATCGAGATAATCAAGCTCAAAGTAGACAGCGAGTGCACTTCTATTAGAGCAAATACCGTACACTTTTTATAGTACTGTACAAGAAGTATACTGTAACGAAGCTTTTTCTAACTTCCTTATTCTCCAAAATCCCCCCGGACCTCAAAAAACCCCTCGAACGCACTAAGCATATTTTCCCCTTTTCACCTTTTCTTTTTTCTCTCTTATCTCTTATCACACACACACACACACAATGCACTCGGAAGCTATTAATCACAATTTCTCTGATGTGTGAGATGATGAGGAGGGTCCCCCCTTCATCCACAAGAGCATGAAAAGGATCCCCCCACCTCTCCCAGCCAATCAAATGGCAATTAGTCTTCCACCTCCACCTTCCTCTCATTATTCTTCGATTCGTTGTCTAGTGATTTGTTGTTTTCAGATTCCCCCCGCCGAGAATAGATCAGAGATATACGACGCACATACACCAGCCCAAATGGAAGCATGGAATCGGATGCGGTGCCGCTGAAAACGCCTCAAATATCAATAGATGTTGAGGATGACCGAGGCGCCACGGGGACGACGGCTTCTGGATCCGTTTCTGGGTCCCGACCTGGATCAAAACCGGCATCGAGGAAGCCATCTGGAGCGCTTGCGGAAAATTTTCTGCCATCTCAGCATCATCGGAATCAATGGGCACACGATCAGAATCGGAGGAATATGTCTTTTGAGAAGTCGGGGAATGGTAATAGTCTCTTTTTTGGCTTGAGAGATACTGTAGATCCAGGATCTATAGGATCTAGGATCTATAGGATCTAGGATCTAAAGATCTAGGATCTAGGATCTATAGGATCTAGGATCTATAGGATCTAGGATATAGGATCTATAGGATCTAATTCCACCACAGGGCGAGAATCA